CAGCAGGAACGCATGCTTGAACTAGGTAGCAATCTCCGCTCCATCAAGACTCCAACAGGATTTCCTTTTTCCATAGGACAAAGTGATTCTAACATTCATCTGGAAGAATAAACAGACAAGAATCATTAAGAACGTTTTGAACAACAGAGTCAGAATTTACTCTGATGTACATGAAAATATACCATAATGTGATAACTGGGCCAATGGAAAGAGGAACTAAGATATTCAGACTACTGGAAGGATGGCATTTGAAATTATTAGATAAAAGATGGATTATTTCATGTCTTGTTTGTTACAGGAAAATTCAGGAATTATAAAGAGAAGTATTTTGTGTACTATGCAACGGTATTATGTTGACTGTAATTGCTTTGTTTGTTAGAAAACTACAGAAAGGGCTCGGTATTTTAACACCATCCCATAGTCATACAATTGTGTTTATTACACTATCCTAATTCACCTAAAGAATTAGATCAAGGTTATTTTCTTACAGCCTTGTGGGTTGATAATTATAAAAAATAAAAATTACACAGCGCTTATTCTATGCCAGGCACTTTTCTAAGCTGTTGAGGTATATTAATACGTTTAATCATCACACCCACCATGGGAGATCGGTAGTGTTATTATTTCCCATTAAGTACATCCGCGAGAAGCAGGGGGTGCACAGCCTTGCGTCTGTGCCGCTTTGTCCGCGATCACGGTCACACACATCTAGTAAGCGGAGCAGTGGGTACCTCAACTCAGGCTCCGGGTCTGTAAGACCCTCCCTGTGCTGGGAAGGAGCTCGCGGTGGCAATCAGGGGAAGGCGCTCAGTTTTCAGGCCCTAACGTGCCTTTCTGCTCCGCTCAGGGACCTGATGCCGAGGACCCTGGAGGGGCAGATCACCATGGAGAAGACGCCCAGCTACTTTGTGACGCGCGAGGCGCCCGCGCGCATCTCGGCCATGTCCAAGGACACCAAGCTCCTGGTGGTGGTGCGGGACCCGGTGACCAGGGCCGTCTCGGACTACACGCAGACGCTGTCCAAGCGGCCCGACATCCCCAGCTTCGAGAGCCTGGCCTTCAGGAACCGGACGGCGGGCCTCGTGGACCGGGCGTGGAGCGCCATCCAGATCGGCCTGTACGCCGAGCACCTGGAGCGCTGGCTGCGTCACTTCCCCGCCCGCCAGCTGCTCTTCGTGAGCGGCGAGCGGCTGGTGCGCGACCCGGCCGGCGAGCTGGGCCGCGTGCAGGACTTCCTGGGCCTCAAGCGCATCATCTCCGACAAGCACTTCTATTTCAACCAGACCAAGGGCTTCCCCTGCCTCAAGAAGGCCGAGGGCAGCGGCCGCCCTCACTGCCTGGGCAAGACCAAGGGCAGACCCCACCCCGAGATCGACGGCCAGGTCCTGCGGCGGCTGCGCGACTTCTACCGGCCCTTCAACCGCAAGTTCTACCAGATGACGGGCCACGACTTCGGCTGGGACGGATAACCTTATAATTTAAAAAGAAAAAATGATATCAGAAGATAATATATTTTTTTACCCATCAGTAGAGAAGAGGCAGTTTAATATTTGCGCTGCTGATATGTTTCAGTATTTTTTTCCCATGAATGTTAAAGAGATTGTTCTCGCCTCCGCCCTCACCGTCATGTACAACTGCGCGCGCAAACATTTGGAGAAACAAAAAAGGAAACCTGCACGCATCTAAATTCTCTCCATTTTCCGTTTTCACTTTATGTTTTATATGCACAGTTATGAAGTATGAGCATCAGCTGCCATTAAAACTTTTAAGAAAATCCTGAGGGTATAGCTCATGCTCTCTCACTCCTTCTTTTAACAATGCCCGGATAAGACTGATGTCTACCCTCAGGTTTTTCTCCCTTTAGTTTTTCTCCTGTGCCACTTTTTAACCCCTTTCCCAGTTAGTGATTCTGTACGTTTGCACGTCACTTCCCAGTTACCACAGTGCTTTCAAGTACAGTATCTTTCTTGATCCTTATACTCAGGTGTGATATAATAACATAAGACATGGAGATTATTACCCCCGTTTTACAGATAAGGAAACTGAGTCTCAGAGAGCTTAAGTGATGTGTCCTAAGGCCAGATGGTGGACTCTGGACAAAACCTCATCTTCCACTTGTTCCCTGTTTTGCGCCACTTTTTCCAGTGAGAATGGGAAAGGCACAGACAGCATTTAGAAATGGTTAGCTAGTTTGGGGACCAACAGAGAGGGTTTCCTGTTGCTTTCTAAGTTCTAGGCTAGCCTCTGTGGCACTCAGACACCTTACACAGTTGTACTCAAGGAAACCACTCTGTCTTGGACTCAACATCTTTTAAGAGCCAATCCTGGGTTGTTAAAGCACCCTGAGACATGGATATCTTGACTCAATTGACGTTGAGAGAAATTATTGGATTCTCGTATGGAGAACAAGATGGCCAGTCACACTAGGAGTAGGATAAGGTGTGGTAGGAGAAGAATTTACCTATTCTTGTTTGGACTGTGTTTTCCTTTTTTTCTTAAAGAAAAACCCACTTCAGTAAGAGCTTACAAATATGAATCTCATTTTATAAACCTTTTAACAAAGAAAATCTGCCTCTCTTTGTAATATCTTATTTCTAAACTTGCAGCTAGTACTAAAAAAAGGTCAATCAACATCTCATTTACAAGGCCCCAGTTTTTCATGGGTGGAGGGAGGGCTGCCACTTTGTCACTTTATTTTTCCCCATTTCCTCTCTGTAGCAGTTATAACCTAATATTCGTTAATATTTTGAAAATACTCTAAGAAATGCAGATATGGGTAAAGTGGTGGGTTTTCCTCTCCTCCCATCTGTTTCTGCCTGTTCCCCATTTAAGTAGCTCAAATAAATCAACAGTTTATTAAGAGTATTCCTTCCCTCTCTGAGTGAGTGGGCATTAACGAGATTAGCATTAATGGGAATTAAATTGGTTTAGAGAAGAGCACATATGCACAAACTATATAAAACATTCATAATGTAGTCGTCAGCAACATTTTTATTGCAGGTTTAAACCCAAGAGGAAAATGTCTCCAATCTCATGGAAATTTTCCATATCTGCTAAAATGTAAAGGACCACCAGACACTCCAGTACTCTAAAACAACACTCTTCCCCAGTGTTGTCAATCAAAAGAAACTAAAGTTGTTTTAAAATATGCAGTTTTATCGTGCATCTGACATAGATGCTGCATCGGGTGAAGTAAATATTCCTTGAGAAGTCTAACGGGATTAAAATGAAGGAAAAAAATTTAAGTTTCTAGATATTCTATCATTGCTCTAAACCTCTGGATTTATTAATTCTCTTTTACGGGGGTTAAGTAAACCCTCAATCCAGGTCCCCGTTCCCAGCCGATAGCCTTCCCTTGTACGCCCTCAATTTCCCGATGCTACAGCCTGTTTTTTTGTTCTACTTGAATCATCACTACCAGCAACAAGAAATGCATTTTAAACTCTTTTTGTCTTTTCTGTTAACTCATGTTTGTGCTTCTGATTCCCTAATAAGCATGTGCTGGACCTTCTGCGAAGGTGGCTTGCACAAGGACACAAGTGCATCTAACAACTGTATTCAGCAACCTTCATCTTTTTGTGTTAAGAAATAATAAAAGAACAGAATTGAGTGCAAAGAACTTCTTGCATGCAGATTTTTTGTTTGGTCATATGATTTTTAAAATGAATGACTACAGAGCATACCAGGAAAGCCTTCTAACTTCTAAGATTTCATAAGAGCAGCAGAGGTTTTAGATCCCAGCCAAGTGTATAAGATCTTGGGGTCAGTGTACCCCAGAACATGAATTTCCCATTTCTGCATTTATGTGGTACTTCCTCTTGTTGTACATGGACTTGGCCTCGGATTTCTTTCGTCCATTTAGCTACATCGGATCATAGGCCCTGCTCCTGATCTGAACACTGTAATCATCCTTCCTCCAAGCTCACCCCTCTTAGAGAACAACCAGAGGTCTACAGCTTCACTCTGAATCGTTTGCTCTTGAGGCCACGCCTACAGTGTATAAATTCTTCCGGTAACTAAGAAATTTTAAGGGAAATTAATTTTGTCCTATTAACTATAGATTCATAAGCTTCTAGAGAACAGATATTTATTATTCCAGAAGTATTAATCCCACTCTAATTTTCTTATTTTCAAAAATCCTCAAAGTTAGAATAAACCTGAATGGTAATGTGGATTAAATCCCCATTTGGCACCTGAATCCTTTCTTTAGCTGGTTATGCAGGGGTTTAAAACATTGATGTGTCTCTAAATTAACTCTTGATTTTACAGTTGTAAAGAGGACACGTTTCTTCTAAACACCTGCATCCTGTTCTGTCAGCTGAGACCTGCCAAATCTGTTACCCATGAAGATGACCAACATTTAGTATGTGAATAAATGTGTCTCTAAGGCGATAATAGCTTATATTAAAGTAGCAGATTACCCTAAGGACATCTTCTCCCCTTAAACCAACACCACCTACTCCCCACTTGCATTCCACCGTACAGATGAAAAAACTAACACTTAAGACAGTGGCTCTCAACAAAAAGCAATTTTTCATTCCAAGTGATGTCTGGAGATATTTTGGGGTCCCAAGCATGGTGGATTATAGATGCCATCTAACAATGTACATGAGAGCCTTCATAACAAAGTACTGTCACACCCAAAATGTGTGATAATTCTTTGTCATCACACATAGATATCAGCACCTCAGTGGTGCTGAGGTTTCCAGCTGCTGAAGGACGCCAGTTACAGCTAGTCTGTGTCCAAACCAGGTCTAAAAACCAGACTGTAATTAAGCTTTGGCTAGTAGTTCCTTCACTCACCACTCTAGGTTTTCTCTTACAGTCACTCTGTAAGTGACTCCACTACAGTTACTAGATCAGTGTTTAAGGCTGTGCTTTGTCAAGACAAGTACTGAAGAGAAGCATCGCGGAGCTGGGTTTTTTACAACAGATACAGGAGCAGCTTGTAACAAATGGATCCCTGCACTTCTGGGAAGTGGAATCAGTCAGCTTCGCGTGGAAAAATGTCATTCTGATAAAACATTTCTGAAGTCTTTTTCAAGTTCAAGTCCTGCAGCTTCAGTTTGCCTCCATGAGAGTGCCGTGACAGTATTTCTTGTCACCTGACACAACCAAGTGTCGAGAAATAGAAGTAAATGGCTGGACTTCTGTAAACCAGCTAAATCCAGATAGACGTGCTATGGTTTGCAATTGGCCCTGAGTGGCTGAATAATAGCAAAGGAAGATGAATTCTTACTGCCACATTTTCTAGAAACCCCAGGTCTTTGTATGGGCCCACCATAGAATCAGGGAAGAGACAATCGTATGGTTCCCCAAATTAAGAAAATATGCTCACCGTCCAGAGAAAGTCTTAGTGTAGAAATAAAACACCCACCTATTCTCCTGTTGCATCCTGTAATCACTGAGGAAGAAGGGGACTTTAAAAACCCAAACATCAAGAAACATCAGCGCTACTGTAGAATTTATGGTCTTTGAAATATCTTCATCGATGTGAAAACAGATCTGCATTCAGAGCCTCGATTATATGCGTGAAAAACATGGACAGGGAAAGTATAGACCTGTTTGTCACATCATGACATTTTGGAATGGCAGGTCTTTCGTTTAAAGCTTAAAAAAATGAATTTTGGAAAATTACAAGGCAGTGCAACCTCAAATACAGAGTAATAAAATAATGGATTTTCGTTAAGTCGGGAGGAAATAAAACTGAAAATAGAAATTGCTTCTAATATATGAATCCATTGTGGGACATTTAGGATATTTAGTTAGTATGTTTCAGGCTATAACCCTAACTCTCTAGTTAAATTTCCAACAGTTGGTTGTGTTCTTTTAATAGCTATAGGCTCAACATCTTAATTCTCCTCTAATTTTATTGTCAAAATAAAAAGTAACAATAAAGAGGGATCACACATTCTGTTGTGAGTCCTTTTCATCCCCCAATTCCTGGGTCTGATATTTTAGGTATATTCGAAGGATCACATATGAGGAGAAACGGCATCCTTTGTTAGCTCCGCCTGGCTGGTACATGATGAGGCCAGATTCCTAGCTTGGCGCTGATAATTCCTCAGGGGCATTCAGGTTACTGTCTGGTCTAGACATTGTCCAACTATGGTCCACGTACCCAAAGTCACTTTATAGTAATCATAAAGTGTTTACCATCCTTGGGGGCTTGTTTTCATCACAAAGAGAAGTGATGTGCCTTTTCCCCTCCTACCTCCTAGATCCCTGCTTCCTTCACTTTTCAAGTAACCTCTCCCCCCTCATCCTGCCTGTGTCCACTGCTCCCTTATGTCCTTATGGGCTTAACCCTACTGGTCTAAGTTCTGCCGTCTCATCAGGAGCACCATACTTGATGGTGTCCACTTCACACTTCAGATTCCTGGGGGAAACCTTGTGGTCCACCTGGGGCAACTGCTCTGATCTTTAGCTCTACGGAAAGTAGTCTGCTTATCTGATGTAGACACCCAGACAGATGCAGGTCAGAT